TAAGAAAATCTGCTAAAGACAAATTCTCTTGATGTTTGTCTTGAAGAGGTTGTCTGGAAGGTGAAGTCTATGAAGCAGCGTTTCACATCGGTTGTTACTACTAATCTCCTCAGAGGTCGTCACCGACTGTAAATACATGATTAAACATGTACTGTATGTTTGAGAGTGTAACATCATCCAGTGGGATAAAGTAAATAATCTCTGGTTAAATAAGAACATGTGAAAAAACTGTAGTTTCTTACCTTATCATTACTCATATCCATGTCTAAGTTACCTGCAGGACAACAAGGAACCAGGTGATCAGATCAGTGTCCAACTGAGCCATTTTTCCCAGTATTTACTGTAACTGCTTTTAAATGTTAGAAGATTAATAACTTCTATTTTTGACTATTCCATGTTACTGTACTGTTATAGTAAGTCATTAATTTAAATCACTACAGTTCTCACTGTGAGCAGATGGTTCTTTAGTGCTGGTGTCAGATTTTCCTCCTACAGTTGTGCTGTCATCATTGTTCTTTGAGTGTCCAACATCAGCAGGTGCTTTCACTGGATCACACTGAGAAAACAGGGTATTTATATGTCCTTTAGTCCACTAGCTGCTGTGATGAAGTAAACCAAAACACTCAGTGGTACTACACACCAGTTCAGAGTACAACACCAAAAATAAAAGCATGAGAAAACTGTTGTGGCTGCAGATCGGTGCACTCCCAGCACCTCGTCTGCCATCACTGGGACCATCAACAACTCTGCCTCTGCAGGTGCTGGAGTGCGCTCCTGGCGGCGATGTGCACCTGCTTCAAATCAGTGGAGCATTACTTAAAGAGGAGCGTGGGTGGGATCTCGTCACCAGCTGATGTCTCGTCATCCTGTTGGTAACTTCTCATTTATACATGAAGCTTAGTAATTTTGTAGGAATATTCTGCTAACCTGATTTTGACTATTTTCCGTTCTTTTGTGGTTTCTGCCCTTTTGAATTGCAATTGCTGTCTTATGTTATGAACAGTTTTGCCTGTGTTTTGAGATACCTATTTTTCCCTGTAACCTGGTTGGCTCCGGCCATTCCGATTCTGTGTGCCACTCTGCGCAAGGCCTGTGAACTGTTTTCTCCATCAG